GCTATCATATGCGAATTAACATAGTCGGTCCCTATAGGAGACCACAACTTTTGCGACCATTCCGCGACTTGCTTATTTCAGTATGGTTTACAAGCCGGGTCTCTTGAAGTTGATGCCACTTCCAATGAGTTCGTGTTGGGCACACTGTTGTTGCCTTTTAAGTTCTTCTTTCTTTTTTGCACTTGAAACTTCATAACTTTTTTGCATGATAAAGGAGGTGGAGGAAGAGGGGGAGGAGGAGGAAGTGGTGGTGGTGGAAGTGGTGGAATCCACAATATTTGAGGCATCATAAAGTCGCACGCCTGGTAAACGAAATGCTGTTATTTTACTATTACGGTGCTAGCGACAAAGTGTACACAAGGAACCACTGATAGAAGAAGCCTGAGTGGCAGTAACGAACATTTAATGGAAAAAAAAAAACTTTATTTTGCGAAAGGTTAAGCTTTTTTGAAGGTTAAGCTTTTTGAAAGTTTATTTGCGAATGGAATGCAATAACATTAAGAATTTTTTCAGTCCCGTGACAAATAAGGGGAATTAAAAAAAAATTTTTTTACTACCGAATAAAAAAAAGAATAAAACAGTTTTGTAAAATGCATTCATTCATTAAGGTTGAAAACTGTAGAAAACTTTTGAAGTCCGAAACCTCGCCCCTTCTCTGACATGTCTGGTAATAATATCATTGATGGTTTTGTAAAAATCCAAATTTGATTCAATAACTTGACCCGTTGTTCGGAAATTTATTTCCTTCACGACTCATGGAACGTTAGAATAATCTTTAATTTCAAAGTATCCTTTTATTACAACAATACAAAAATGCTTGATTGAAGTTCTCTTTCAAAGTTTACCAAATGATGCTAGTTACGTAAAAAAAAAATTAAAAAATTTTTGAGGAATATTACTAAATAATGGACTTTTTATAGAATTTTCTGTCTAAAAAAAAATTAATTACAAAGATAGAAAAGGGAAATGGAATCCTATATACAGGTTATTTAAAAAAAAAAAAATGAGAAATGATCGCTATGGTTTCGATAACTGCTTAAGGATCTCGCTTGGGTCTTACTGTTGATCCTGTTTGTCATAATATTCTTTGTTCGCGTCGGCTAATATTTTTTATCATGCTTTTTATAATCTATTACGTTAGGATTATAGTAAGGATCGTAGTATTCTCCATCTTGCTTGTAGGGATCGTAGTATTCTCCACCTTGCTTGTAGGGATCGTAGTATTCGTTTGCGTCGGCTATGGCTAAAGCATCCCTTTTGTATTTTTTATCATGCTTATCATGTTTATAATCATCAACATAAGGATTATAGTAAGGGTCGTAGTATTCTCCACCTTGCTTGTAAGGATCATATTTTTCGCACGCGTCAGCTACTGCGTTTGGAATTGGCTCGCG